CCGACGTGGTGGCGGCGACCCACGTCGGGGCGAAGCGGCGGCGAGCGGGCCTCGCCGCGCCTCCTCCCGCCTCCCAGCCTCCCGCCCCGGCGCCCGCCCACGCCACGGCCCCGGCGCCCGCCCCCAAGAAGAGCCGCCCGAAGGCGGCCGGCCGTGGGCCTCGAGGGGCCACCAAGGTCGCCGGCTCGTCCCCGGCCGTGAAGAAGCCGCGGAAGAAGGCCCCCGCCGCGGCCGCGCCCCCGCCCGCCACCGTCACCGAACCTTCTCCCGCCGCGCACGAGGTGCTCGAGGAAATGGCAACCCCATCCTCGTTCATGGACCTCCTCCAAAACGCGGAGGTGGACCTCGGAGCTCCGCCTCTAGACCCCTTTAGGGTTGGAGACGACTTGGAGGAAGATGAGGAGGATGAAGGGGATGACGAGGAGGAGGTGGCCGAGATAGGGGTGGAGGCATTCACCGCCGCTTCCCGCCCACACGCTCGGTCCACAAACTACACCGAGGCGGAAGATGTCCTCTTGGTTCGTGCTTGGGCAGCTGTGGGAATGGATGCTACCACCGGCACCGATCAAACCGGTAAACTCTATTGGCAAAGGATTGAGGACGTCTATTGTAGGATCAAGTCGAAGAAGAGTGGGTTCATCCATCGCACATTCCGGTCGCTTCAAGGCCGTTGGGAGTTGATCAAGCCCGCTTGTTCTCGTTGGATTGCGGCCATGGACCAAGTGAGGGATGCACCACCTAGTGGAACCGTGGAGAGTGACTATGTAAGTACATATTTCTTCACTTTTTTGATTATGTGTGTGCACTATGCTATTGGTGGGTTCTTATGTGATTTATGTGTGGTTGATAGGAGACAATTGCCGGCTTGAGGTACAAGGAGATGGCCGCTTCCAAGGGCAAGTCATTCCCATTTAAGCATGTTTGGTCAATTCTTCAAACCTTTGACAAGTGGAAGTTGAGGGATCAAGAGACCGCACCCAAGAAGTCGGCAATGCTAAGGATGGACGATAGTGAAGATGAGGAGGAGAGGAACGTGGGCAAGCCCGAGGGAAACAAGAAGGGCAAGCTAAGGGTGAAGATGGAAGAAGAGGCGTCAAGCCTAAGGGAGAAGATGGACCACATGATAAAGGCAAGAGAGGAATTGACAACGAAGACATTGAAGATGAAGCTTCTTATCACCGAGAAGAAGAAAGAGGTCAAGCTTGCACAAGTTGAAGCAAAACGTGAAGAAGCAAAGCGCAAGGCCGAGTTGGAGGAGAGGATGATCAAGCTCAAAGAGGCAAAGGTATGGAAAGAACTCATGGTGGAAGAGAAAGAGCACATGATGATGTCCAAGAAGGACATGGATCAAGACCAATTGCAATGGTGGAAGGACTACAAGGAGGACATCACGGAGAGGAAGAGGATGTTTCGTGTTGCGTCCTCTACTTTTCGAGGCGACACTCCGATGAGTAGTTGTGGTGATGGCGGTGTGTACGACTCCATCGGTGGCGATGGACATGCTTGATGGAGCCCGCTTGTGGTCTAGGAGATGGCGCCGAGGTGCAACTTTTGGTGATGGTGCCGATGAGAGGAGGAAGATGATGATTTTGTGATGTAAACTATTAAACCATGCATCAATGATTGTCATTTGGTAGTTTGTTTGGAAGTTGATTGTGTTCTTGTTGTCATAAATTGTGAGATGCCAAATGATAGATTTAAAGGTTGGGGTTGAGGCAAAGACTAGAACCCTCAAATCCAACCCTTAAAGCAGTTTACGGGTTGGGTTTGAGGGTTCTAGTATTTGCCCCTGTTTTTCAACCCTTAAAAGTGTCAAAAAGTGGCACTTCTTAACCCTTAAAAGTGCTTTGAGGATTTGAGGGTTTGAGGGTTCTACTAGTAATGCTCTTATAGTGGGAAGCAACTTCTTAAGAATGTAAGATATGAAGTTGAGTATTTTCGTCAAAAAATAATTTTAGGTTTATTGGTTTCTCTTCGTCGGATCCGATTTCACCTACTTCCCTGGTCCTCCCATAATCTCCATTCCCCGCATGGCTCAAGCGGAAAAGAAATGGCTCAAGAAAGTGCCCCGCTAAACAATGCAGTGCCAGACCCAATAAATCTATGAGGTCAATTGACACAAACTCTTCAAATTTTGTCAAAAGTTTGCTCAAATATATACTACCTCCATTTTTAAATACAAGTCTTTGTAGAGATTTCATTATGCACTGCATATAAATCAAAATGAGTGAATCTACGCTCTGAAATGCATTATATATTTGTATGTGATCCATAGTGAAATCTCTAGAAAGACTTATATTTAGAAATAGAGGGAGTATATAACTAAAGACAGATTGTTAAAAGTTGTGGGGTCAACTGATGCGTATAGGAGTCAACGAGGAGTTCGTTTGGTTTACATAGCGAACAGACTTGACGGGGCCCAGTTAACTAGGTGAGTGAGTCCGCGATTTTTGCTTGCGGCTGCACGAAGCGCTTCCAGTACCAGTGCTTGACCCAGACGGTGCCCATGGACTCGAGCGGCACGCCCTTGGTCTCCGGCAGGAACAGCGCGATGAAGACGGTCATGACGGCGACCCAGCCGGCGTAGTAGGCGAACGTGGCATACTTGAAGCTGCAGAGCATGGGGAGGAACGACTGCGTCTGCACGAACGTCAGGCCGAGGCCGATGGACACGTTCATGGCCTGCCCCGCCGACCGGATGTCCACCGGGAATATCTCGCCCGGCACCACCCACCCCAGCGGCCCCCACGACCACCCGAACCCGGCGGCGTGCATGCACGTGAACACCAGGATCGCAACCCCGTACGGCCTCGCCATCGGCGCGTCGCCGCTCTTCCCCACCTGCGCGCCCATGATCCATGCCATCGCAACCTTCAATGCTCAAACGTGTGTCTGCGTCAGAAAACCCGGCCATTCAAGCATACCTGGGCAATGCTCAGATGGAACTGGACGTGGATGCATACCTGGGCAACGATCATCTGGATGCCGCCGACCATGAACATCACCCTGCGGCCGTACCGGTCGATGACGAGGGTGGAGAGCATGAGCGCCCCCAGGTTCACGCCGCCGAGAATGACGGCGCCCATCAGCGCGGCGTTGCTGCCGAACCCGGCGGTGCGGAACACCAGCGGCGCGAAGAAGGAGAGCACGATGACGCCGGTGAGCTGGAAGAACATGGGCACGGCCACGGCGAGCACCAGGTGAGGGCGGTACTCGCGCCTCGTCGCCATCCGGTGGAACGCGCCTTCCTCGCTCTCGCGCGCGACCTCCACGGCGCGCACGATGTCCTGGAACTCCGCGTCCACGTCGGCGCCCGCCCCGCGCACCCGGACGAGCGCGGCGCGGGCCTCGTCGGCCTTGCCGCGCATGACGAGGCTGCTGGGGGTGTCCGTGAGGAAGAGGGCGCCCAGGAAGATGATCACAGCCGGCGCGCCGGCGAGGCCCAGGGAGAGGCGCCAGCCCCAGGAGATGCGCGCGGTGGCGTAGTTTGTGAGGTTGGCGATGAGGACGCCGAGGGCGAGGAAGATCTGGAAGCCGGCGGTAAGGGAGCCGCGCCACTGCGTCGGGGCCATCTCGGACAGGAACACAGGAGTCGCCTGTCATTTTGTCATGCATATATGGCATCAGTCATTAGATGAAAATCATCGTCATTCGGCAATCATATTTACACCAACGTTAGTGCATACGAGCAAACATGGATCCGTTCTCCCCTTGGTGATGTAGTAGACATCATTTACTTGTTCCAATTTGATTGGATATATGTGAGAAGAACTCTAACAGAGCCCGTTGTACGCATATGAAGCGCTTTATATGCATTTGAAAGTTGCGGACACAAAGCGTAAACTTCGGGGTACGGTCTCAAATACGACGCTTCCTTTCAGTGTCCTCATGCCTCCATTAGGGCATGTACAATGATGCTATTTTAGAAGTGTCACGTAGCATAAATGATGAGTTGAAGAAGAGAGAATTCATAAGAAAAAGCTTGTCTTCTCTTATTTAAGAGAAGACAAGAGATGACCTCTTAGCACAATATGTCTCACCATGTTTTTAGGAATGACTAGTTATTGGAGATGAGGCTAACAGATGACCCATTGTAGACATTTGATTTTGTCATTTTTAAATTACATGCAAGTATTAAGATAAAACTATTTTATCAACTATTGTACATGCCCTAATGGGTCGAGGGGATCTTCGGCCTCTCCTCCTCTTCATCCCCAAAATTAAAGATGAGGGGGCCTCCTTCGATTGCGCCATTGACAAGAAACTAGGTGATGTATTGGAGGCGGGCTATGGGCTGGGCCGGCACAACTTCCCGATG